TCCGCCCAAATGCCCTCTAAAACGGCAACGAAGTGTGAGAGCAGGGAGGTAAATATGTCTGCTATGGCGTATACACCGGATTAGCCTACTCCATGCCTTTCGTGAAAGTTCCATTAATCTCCAATTTGAATCTTGTGTAATTATCACCAACACACATAACCTAGAACATGACCCCTGCCAATACGACCCCCCACCTCAAGCTCAAATGCGACTCCCCGTTGCACATGGCACAACGACGATTGACCTTTTGTGGGGGGAGGGATTCTGGAGTTTGGGCATGGGTTGGAGGACGGAGGTAGTACTACACCGTTACTATAATCAAACCACCACAGAAAGTGAACCAAGAAGAGTGGCGGAATTCTATGGAGATTATTTTCGGAAGAGAAAGGAGGGGATGGGTTCCGCTGATTCCACAAGTTTTTCTAACTTCCACCGCCTCCATACAAACAATGACCTCCTTTATGACGAAATCATAACAAACATCAAAACCATTGATTAGGAAAATAATTTACTGAATCATGCTTGTAGGCTCTTTTGTCGAGACTGATTGATACTGATTTGGGTTACCCAATATCCTTCAAAAGTCGTTTCTCTTCCAATGTAAGAAATAGGATATACAGGGGTGGGGGAGGGCAAAAAAGTCACCTCGCCCATGGGCGCACCACCAGTTTTTGTCGCACAATGTGCCGCTGTTGATCGACGTTTCAAGGCAAAACCTTCTTTACACGTCCCTCCATAAGCAGAAGCAAGCCCACCTCCTCTGTCTTCACTGTCCTCAAAAAAGGACCGTAATCGCTCTAGTCTGAAGATGTTCTTCGATCCAGCGTTTCAGATATGGTCGTGATGGTCCACAAACAACCTCGCTGAGCTCACACGGTGCATCATGTTCTCGAAACAAAATTCTCCGATGGCGTTGAGGTAGAAGGCCCTTTTCTATTGTAGTGCGCCCTTCAATTTCCAGTTGGGGACATGGCTCGAGTTTAGCAAAGTGTAATTAATTTTGTTTCAAAGTTTCAAAAGTGGAGGGGAGTGACTCCTTTACCTCCCCCCCACCCTCCTGGAGGGCTGTATATCAATCTTCCTCTCAGGCAATTTTAAAGACAGCCTACTTTTCCAGCCAGGATACTCTTCTTAAAATGTTAGCATTTTTTTAGGGGTGTTTGTGTTGTAGAAAAACACTATTGGAAACAAAAAGCTATTTTAAAAAACGAACAAAGATGAGGGTTTTCTTTCCCTTTTCAAAGGTGGCCCACCGACCAACATGGGAAACACAGACAAAAAAAAAATCGCGCCAGGACCAAATTTCGCTCTTGCACCGATCGATACTTTCTAGGGAGTCATCGAGTAAAAGCAAAAAAAATTGTTGAAACGTAGTCATAATGTCCTACACAAAAACCGAAAGTAAGGACGGGATTGATCATGTGGAAAGCTTGCTCTTTAAGAGGTTGGAAGTCGGTAAATAATCGTCGAAACCTGGCTCTGTCAATACCTCGTACCAAATTGACCAAAAACTGACCGTATTGTACCAAGCAATACTGCTCAATATCGATCGATAACTCGGTAATGAAACAGTAGCAAAACTGTTCCAGCCGTACAGAACACGACAAGAGTTGAACCCTTTATGAACAAATACTCACATAAGAGCTAGATAATATATGCATCACGTGAAATAAATAAAAGTAAGAGGACGAGAAACTGAATGACTGGTTTGTATTTACGAGTGAGGCGGATAGTTTTGCGGATCCCAAGCGTTCCAGGTGGTCGCATCTCGGGAAGCATCTTGTTGCGGTCGCCAATCCTGAGTGGCGTAGTCCGCGGCAACCGGGAGGGACATAGGCAGGACCGGGTTCTGTGGAGGTCGGAATCCACGATTCTTCGTCCCCGGTAGGATGTGATGCGTGGCGACGACGAATTCGAACTGATCGTTGAACGGGTTGAGGAACTTGTACGCCGAGATACTACACGGTCGATAGTCGTTCGCCTGATCGAATACGGCAGGTTTAGTCGCATTGGTTGATCACGCCTGCAATTGCACCTCACTTTATATTACAGCACATTCATGGAAAACAATGTTGCTCCAAGTACTGCCTAATGATTAGAATAGAGAGGCGAAACAAATCTCTTTGATTCAGGTTTTTGACGGACCAAAGACGCGGTGGCAGCGCTGAGCCCCACCAAACCCCGCGGAGCCATCGGCGGCCGCACGCGTCTATGACCAGCTTTCACACAATCACAGCTGTCAATCAAAAAATGGGTTCAAGTAAGCGCACTTCTGAGGTAATACTTAGGAATTTGTTAGAGTTTAAGATAATTTGAATTGATGCTTACGTCATCATGGCCATGAACGATTCGTGCAAAGATTGCTCATCGGATGGATGTACCACTTGCCACCAAAATCGCCCAACAAGTTGATCAGGGGTAAGACCGAGTAGTTGAGAGACCCGAGCATCGACGAAGGTCATTTTACCGTCGTCGGCAATTCGCATTGAAATCCTCGTCAACTCGGCTGGATCACATAATGGCATGGAGGCTACCTGCAAAATTTTTCACTCGATGTAAAACAATGAATTCAGGCGAAATGAGGTAACGGTCAGTGGCGGCGTTTGTAGCCATAGAATCCTCCACAAATTTATCCTGGATCGAGCCCTAATTGTGTCAGCCAGTTCTTCCATGATTGTTTCACAGCACTCACGTCCTGAGGGCGGGGAATGGGTGGGGGGGGGTATTCAAATCAGAGCTTTCAAAGTGCGCTGGTTGGTCACACTAGGACTACGCCTAGAAGAGGGAGAACGCCTGGGGGAAGCAAGACTATTCACGTCCTTCCCCAAAGTCCCTTCCCCATCATAAGGCTTTGTCCCAAGACTAATAAGTGGTTCACTTATTTCAGTGTCCCTCCTTACAATATGAGCGCCGTTCCCTTACCAATGTGCTTGCACTAGATTTGTACGCGGGGATAAGAACACTAGAATGTACCTCGGCTGGCCACCAAGTAAGTTTCTGTACAAACCGAAACTTATTCATAGATTGCTACAACGATGCTGAATCGAAGGCGAATGCACGGCGTGTTTTTTGTCAAGAACTAGCTGTCAAAAGACTTAATCAAAAACTGGTACCCAAATTTTCATGGGGGAATGAAAGCACCGGAATGCATCAATTAATCTCCCCAGACAATTCCAATAGTCAACCGCCCACTCAAGTTTCAGAAAATTCTGAATGAAAACCAAATACACGGCTCCTCATCGAAAAGCGCTAGACAGCGAGGAGCAATTATTCGATTGAAAAGATACACACGAAGACGCAATACACGTATCTTGTGCGTGCGGTCGCAAAGCGGTCAATGCTTCCACGCGATGCTCGAATTACCTAAGTCGTTTTTACCGCAAGCTCAACATGTGCAATCCGAAACATGCATATAATGCCGATGAGGTCCTACTTCATCTCCATCTTATTGTTATTGCGCGACTGACAGACTAGCGACACGACACATTTTTCAAATGGAGACTATTTGTGAAACTGACAGCGAAAGCTGAGCCTAAGAAAATTATGACATCTACGGTTATTTTAAA